TTTTTTTTTTTTTTTTTTTTTTGTTAGATATTAAATACAAATAAAAATAATTTTTGTTTGCTTTCTTATGTATTTATGTAGAGATGCTGGCTCTCAAGAAACCCTAAACCCTAAACCCTAAACCCTAAACGCTAAACCCTAAACGCTAAACCCTAAACCCTAAACCCTCATAAGCAGTTTCTGCTTGTGTGCTGCAGCTGCTGAAGACGAACATTTCAGGTGTACGTACACCGTGGGGTGTATATGCAGCAAGCAGCAGCCTGTGGTGTATGTGCAGCAAGCACACCGTGGGGTGTATGTACACCCCGTATGCACTCCACTCCTGCGGTGTATGTACACCCTATATCTTCCTGCTGCTGTATATCATTTCACTCTATCTATGCATGCTCTTGGGGTGTATGTACAGCACACTGTGGGGTGTCTATACACCCTAGATGTATTCATACATGTATGAGGTGCGTATACACCCCAGCTGCTATCAATACATGTATGAGGTGCCTATACACCCCAGCTAGTATGTATACACTCTGAGGTGCCTATACACCCCAGCTGGTATATATACACTCTGAGGTGCCTATACACCCCAGCTACTATCCATACAGTCTGAGGTGCCTATACACCCCAGCTACTATGTATACACTCTGAGGTGCCTATACACCCCAGCAACTATGCATACACTCTGAGCTGCCTATACACCCCAGCAACTATGTATAAACTCTGAGCTGCCTATACACCCCAGCAACTATGTATACACTCTGAGGCGCCTATACACCCCAGCTGGTATATATAAACTCTGAGCTGCCCATACACCCCATCAGCTATGCATACACTCTGAGGTGCCTATACACCCCAGCTGGTATATATAAACTCTGAGGTGCCTATACACCCCAGCAACTATGTATAAACTCTGAGGTGCCTATACACCCCAACTCTGAGGTGCCTATACACCCCAGCGGTGTCTGTACAGGCGACGGTGCGTTAAAGAGATTTGAGTTTGTTTAAAGTTAAGAGAACAGCGGCATTTCAGTTTACTAAATAAACCAAATAATAATAATAATAAATAAATAATTTATTATTATTATATAAATAAATAAACACGAGCCGCAACTCCATAGAAAACCACCCCACAATAAACAACAAAATAGCAGCAACACCTCAGCTGCTGCAGCAGCAGCAGGAGCAGCAGCAATAAGTATATATGAAGCTGCTGCATCTACTGCTGCTACTGCAACAGCAACAGCAGCAACAGCAACAGCAGCAGCAGCAGTTGCTGCTGCTGCTGCTGCTGCAGCATTGCTGCAGCAATAGAACTGCCGTCCCTCACGAGCTCCCAGCGCAGCAAGGAGGTGTTTCTCCGCAGCAAAACAATAAATATTTATATTTATATTTTATTTATTTTTATTTTATTTTATTTTAT